TTGGAGGATTCACCCCCCCCCCCCCCTCCTTCGTAGCTCAGTTTCAAATCGGATGTCTAACCTTATTAGTCGGAGTAACTAGTTGGGATGGTAATGCGAGTGAGATTCTGTTTAAAGGTGAAAATTCAGAACCTTGTCGCGATAAGAAGGATCGTCTACTCTGAAGGCTTTAGGTGGTGCTCAAACAAAGATGCCATCTCAATCTGAAACATTAAACACAATATATGCATTATTCAAGATCAGTTACTTATTGCAAACAGAACACTTAGTCTTAGTTATTGATGTTTAAGTTTCAACAATTAATGACTTATAAATTATATTAGTCAGGGCCTTTTAATCAAATATTAAGGAAGGTAAATTTGAGCAAAATCAGACACTATTGAACTTGTTTTGAGGATAAAATCTAATTGTCACACAATCACAGGCAACTTACAGCTGTCAATGCTGTTTCGGAGCCTTTATTCCCAGACTTCCCACCAACGCGATTGAAAGCCTGCATTATATTACGATGTTGGTTAGCATACATGAGCAAGATAGATTCACACAGCCAAGAAGAATATTGCAAATTTAGTTCCAAGGAGAGTATATGTTACACAAATCCATAAAACCTAACAGCCACTATCAAATCTCTGTTAAAGTACATGAAACAACAATGACTATCTCGCTGTACAAAGCTACAAGGTATAACCTCTCAGCTGATGTAGATTATACTGTCCGTGAATCCGTTATTCCAACCACTATTTATACAATGGACAAAGAAGATAGAACACCAACATGTATAATGGCTAATTGCTTACCTGCTCCAAGGTATCACATGTCAAAACACCAAATATGCAAGGAGTACCTGCAACTCATTACATAAGGGAGATTTTAGTTTGGCCAGCCAATTGAAAAAATTGAACTGAAAATAGCATATAATGACAGAAGATGTAGTTTTTTTTAACAGAGGTAATCAAACCACCTTGTACCTTGATAAATTCATTGGAAATCCTATTATACTGCTCAGAAGCACAACCATCGAGTAAATATGACACCAGGACTAGAGCAAATGAACTCACACAGTTTTTAACTAGGATTCAAACGTAGGATCTTCAAGTTGTTGTACTATGCCTAAGTGTTCGACACAGCCTAACCATCTAAGATGACAGTTTAAGGCATAGTTAGTCTTCAACGACCCTTCTTTTCATCTTTCATGTGTACTTACACCTTCTGTCAGTTATCATTTCTAATCTTATCAATCTTGTATGTCCAAACATCCAGATTAACAAATTCATCCTGTGAATATGTTAGGACTTTTGAAGCCTAACAACCCCATATTACATGTTTAGTCTCACAACACTTTGTAGACCTTGCCTTTCACTTTGTTGGATGATGGTCCCATAACAATCCTCTATTTCAACCATCATATTTAATTCCAGATATTACATTCAAAGTTTAAACAATGTTCCAAAATCTTATCTATCAATAATACTGAAGAGTTGCAAAAAGATTAAACATTAGCATACTAATTATTGCTCATGTGGATTATAATGGAGTATGTTATCTCACCTGAATTTAGACCTGCTGAAAGTACTCCAGATGTGGCAGCATTAACGACTGCATCATAGTGAGATGTATCACCTCTGATCTACTAGCCACAAAGCAAAAAAGTTAAATTAAAGACAATGATACACGTCACCAACAAGAAGAAAGGAAATATTAGGTTATGATTCGGACATAGGGAAAGCAGAAAGGTGCCTATTTGATTTACAGAAACAAGTACCGACATAGAAGGCACTTCAATCTCTTGCCTGTGATGTATTTTTTCTTTCTTTGGGTTTGAAATGCACAGAGTTTTAGCTTTATATTACCTTTTTCTTTCCAGATATTTATTAACTGAGAAAGAAATCCAGCAGGGCACAAATACTATAGTGTTTATCAGTATGTTCAGATGAGGTTACTTCACAATAAGGCACTGAAATTTGGGCATGCCTCCCCTACTATGTCCAACTAAAACAACTAAACGTTTGACCAGTCCAACAAAGAAAAATTAGAAGACACTGACCCACAGATTTTTCCCTCCCTCACATCAATGTGAATTAGTTAAAGATGTCCATCAAATGACTTATATCTTCAGTAAGGAATCTAAAGTTCAATAGCTTCTTTCATTTAATAAATTTGCCTATCTATCAAAATAGCCTAGTCAATCTGTCTGCCGTGCTTGAGTTTTATTTGTTCAGCTTTATACTTCCATTGTTGAAGGAAGAGGATCACAACTAAATGCCAGTTTTCTCAACAGGAACAAAAGACACAGTTAATGCTTCTCATCATACTCTAAGTTGCTTCCCCTTCCGTAACTCAAAAGATCAGTTCACGCACAATGATGAACACATAAGACAAGCCAAAACAGAATAAACCAAAAGAATAACTTAAGCATCTTACCACAATCATCCATATTTCCATACACAATACAAAAAACATCATCAAATGAAACAGAATCAGAATAGGCAAATAATGTAGGAGGAAAAACTACCAAGGTAAACTTATGTTTGGAAGTGAGCTTACCACAGCCCCAATGCAGAGTATTGCTTGATATTTCTGTGACTTTCCAAGAAGCTGTGCAGTCACGCCGATTTCAAAACAACCAGGAACCCACACAACCTGCATTATGAGGAAAAAACTAGATGACGCCATGAAATGGAAGAGACAACTTCCCACCACGCCTTATTCTGTATTCGATCTACTGATACAACATTCTCCATAACATAGAAGTGCCATTTATCCCATAGTAGATCTTTATGCTCTAGTGTAGAATGTCATAGAGGGGTATTATGTAGCAATCAAGCTCTCATTTAGATTTTTCATGGCAAGCGGACCTTCGGTAGTAATTGCATCAAGTTTAAGAGAAAATACAGGTTTTGGAGGAAGGAAGGATTAGATATAGAAAACATACATCAATATCTTCCTCTCTAACCGAGTAATTCTTGAAAGTCTCCAAAGCTCCCTCCAAAAGCTTCTTGGTGATCAGATCATTAAAACGTGCAACCACCTTTAGAACCAGCAGATGGTCAGTCAGTTCCAATAACACTCTATTAGAAACATTGCCAATGAAATGAACTCAACTTCTATATGACTTCAAGTAAAACCAAAAACATAACAGAACTACAGACCAAACCCGAATTGTATCAATTGACTTTCACAATTTCTTCAAATGGAACTATTAATTCCCACAATTAAAAATCACTACTTTAAACTACAATTCCCTTTTCCATTTACGTGACACTTTTTCCTTTTTAATCTATTCCAAAATGATTGGCATACTTCTGTCTTGAATACTCTTTTTCTTTTTTAACATTTCAGGCTGCCCTTAATGACAATTGACATGCTATTATTGGAATTAACAAAGCATGACAACCACCATATACTAAGGTACTTTTGGCATGTTTATTCCTCCGTCTTATGTCCTATGTCCTATTTTATGTGACAGTGTTTGACTAGAAGTGAAGTTTAAGAGACGACGGAAGACCTCTAATATATAAGCTAAAAATATTCCAAGTATCTTTCTTTCTTGTATTAAAAAAAACTAACTTTTATATTAAGTGAGGTCCAACAAGTCATGTCATAAAACAAGATGTGTTTTAATCAATCACTTCTACACTATCAGTATACATAATTTAAATCCATCTCAACTGTTTTTCCATTTCTTAAATTCCTTGTCTACTAAATCACAACCATATGTAAGAAAAGAGCTACTCCCTTTGTCGCAGTCCCAAAAAGAATGACATATTTATAGCTACACAAGCATCTATAACTTATTATAGACTTCAAGTTATAGAAGTCGTGTCAGATTAAGCTACATCACATAAATCGGGACTAAGGGAGAATACATTCCTTCATTTCTTATCACCCTATTAAATGAAATGCTAAGACTATTGTATTGAACTGTTGCTCAAATCTTTAAAAAATGCCATTTTTTAGATGATCCGACACGAGTATAGCAACATATTTGGAGAGTCCGAGCAATCAAACAGAGTATAGATTAAAAAGAGAGAGAAAACTGACAATTGCAAACCGATGGCCCTTAGCAGAGATAACTGAACCGTTCAACTGACGAACAGCATCTGTTTTAATCAAATCCGACCCGTTTCGATCCACACAATGTCTCTCAATTGCAGACCCGAAACCTAATCAAATCCAATTTTTTTTAAAAAAAAAATCCCCAAATTAAAACCAAACAATATCAAATCAAATCAAATCGAATCGAAATCGATAAACGAAGAAATAGTATTAACCTATAGATTGAGTGAATGACAGTGCAGGAGGTGAAGAATTTACAGTTTGTCTATGGAAAGACAAACTGTAGAGCTGACGCTGAGACTGCTGAGTATTCACAGATGCTGTACGAGGAAGAAGATTGCACTGTCCGAAAGCTGAAGCCGCCATTTTTATCTTCTCAGACCGTGATTTGACTTTCTTCTTCCTGTTGGGTTTTGGTAACAGTGGCGTTTCTAATTTTTACCGCTGTATTACTCCGTTTTAAAATAAATATTTTTGTCAAGTTTAATTTATTTATATAATTTTAAATATTACGTATATATGTAACGATAAAAAAACTCATTTTGCTGATTAATTTTTTTCCGTTAAACATGAAAAAAAAAAAAACGATACGTATAACGAATTGTGTTACTGCAGGAGAGAAAGAGTCTTCTTCTAATGGAGAAGAGAGAAGACTTGAAGTCAATTCTTCCATTTTTACCCTTTTCACTCCGATCATCTTCACTTTTTTGGCCGGCGGCGGTAGCTGAAGCACTTACCGATCTCTCGAAAGGCCCTAATCACAGCAAAATTGACTCCGGCGAAGTCCTCTTCATCGCCATTTCCGATATTCGAAACTCTCTCTCCCTCCACGATTTTTCAATTGATACTTCTGCTTCTCAAGGTTTTGCTCTGTTTTTCAACGATGTAAACTTCTTTTCCCCTAATTCTCTGTTCATGAACACATAAATTGTATTATCGTAGCACAAATTTCAATCTTTTTTGTTAAAAGTACAGTAGTAGTTTGCGATTTTGAAAAGCATTTTTGATAATATTAGCGCAATAATTTGTGCTTGATCAATGTTAATAGGTTGTGAAAACGTTTCTGTTTTTATTATCGTGATTTATAGTACTTTCAAATAAATTGAAGTTTCTATGTCCGAATTTCGTTTGCCTGTGCACTATGAATATAGCCAAACAAATTTTAAACAGAGGGAGAAGGAGTAATGTTTTTTCCTAAGATCTTGGCCGAACACCTCAATTCTCTAAAATAAACACTTTTTAAAAAGAAAAATATACACTTTTGACTTCCAGAAACTTGGTCGAACAAGCTACTAGTCTATTATGAAAAAAAGTTTGAACTGATTCAATTGTCTACAAAATGCTGGATTGTTTGTGCAGTTGCTTCCTAGGGATGAAGCTGCAAAATGGTTCGAAGAAGTGGTGCCACAATTGGCTAACTTGCTTTTGAGATTGCCTTCATTGCTAGAAACTCATTATGAGAATGCTGATGATGGAGTTTTGAAAGGAGTTAAAACCGGTCTTCGCTTGTTGGAATCACAAGAGCCTGGCATTGTCTTTCTTAGTCAGGTAGTAGTTTAGAATTTTATGTATATATATATATATACTATATGTTAACTCTCCTTATTTTTTATGTGTGGCTGGTTTTTATATTGTGATACTCCTTAGTAAAACTCTGGCTCTGCCACTGCGGGTTGGTGTGGTTGTGGCCAATATGCAGGCAGGAAAGAGCTATCCTTCTTTAAAGCAATTAGCTTTCCGTTCTAGATTTCTTCCTGTACCGAATACACCCAAATGAGTTCATGTCACAACCTGAGATTCGTATGGGATACTCCACAATAAATTTGTTTCATACCTCTTTTACCCCTTTAACTGATTTCTGCAGCAGAATTTGATTATTCGATGTTGTAACAAGTATCTGTAGCATTAATTTTCATGGTTTTCAATATTCTTTTCCAGGAATTAATCAGTGCTCTTCTTGCATGCGCGTTGTTTTGTCTATTTCCTACCAGTCATAGAGGTGCCAAACATCTTCCAATGATCAACTTCGATCACTTATTTGTGTATGTTTCATGAACTGTCTGATATGATTATTGCATAGGCTTGTTTTTCTGTTCATATCTCTATATGAGTTGTTATATTCTGAGAACTTGACATAACTTCTCTATCTTAGGATACGGTTTAGATAAATAGTTTCATTAGGTTGATAATTAGATTGTAAGTTCTTAATTGAATAATTGTTATGTACGACTGTAAGCCAGAATGAGTTATACAGTGTTGAAGAATAAGAACAGATCGATTATTTTGTACACTTTCATAGTTGCACTGTGGTCTTTAAATATCTCGAACTGTCTAAATTGAATCAATGGAGTTCATGTGCTGACGTACATGTTTTTCAGGTGTCTACATGATCATTATGAAGAAGCATTCAAAAATAAATTGAAGTGCATTGTTCACTATTTTGGGAGGATATGTTCATCTATACCCGTGGGCTTTGTGTCGTTTGAGCAAAAGGTTCTTTCTTTAGAATATAGTCCATCTTGTATTCCCTATCCAAAGGAAAAATTATGGAGCCAGTCCAATATTTCCCTTTGCCATTTTGAGGTAAGAAGTGAAACTGTAATCTCAATCCAGTTATCATAAGTCTCTTTTTTTTCACACGCCATGATATCATTCTGTTTCTTTTTAGATTTCCGTTTCCGGATTAATTGAAGATCAATCACGTGAAGCTATTGAAGTTGATTTTGCTAACATGTATTTAGGAGGTGGTGCTCTCGTTAGGGGCTGTGTGCAGGTTCTTTTCTGGACATTTTTCTTTTCGTTTTCACATTTTTGAATCTAACCATTAGCCATTATTTTCAATTATTAAGAAATTTTCAAAGTAATTCATCAAATAAGTTGCTTTTGTCCTTCCTTTGCCACAATGCACCACACTTTTTGCCTTTGAAGTTAATTTTTTTTTGGAGATTTTTGTCTAATTCCTAAAGTGAATGCACTGCATAAAAGCTTCCCTATGTTTTTTGCTTTGATTAAAAAGAGAACTGATATATTGTCTGTTGATTTTCGACATTCAGAATGCCATTGCCATCATCATTTTGTTGCTTACAACCAAAACTTTGTCTTTTGTACTGATTGGTAAAATGATCCACTTGCATCTTCGTGTTTTTAATAAGGTGTTTGCAGTTTGTTTTGGCTCGGATTTAACTTACAAAGTAACTAAACCAGCTAAGTTGGTTTATTAGATACATAAATCAAACCACAGATTGTACAAATTTATCAGTTCCGCTTTTTTGTCAGTTCAGTCTGTTTCTTTTAAATACCAACAAACCAAATATTGTTGGTTTTTAAAATTTTATGCCAAACCAAACTGAAGAATATCTATTTATCAAGTAGGTTTGGTTTGGGTTCCAGTTTGGTTTGGTTTTTCGATTTTTTCAACACCTCTATTTTTAATCAATCAATCTACCATAACTCTTTTCCAAACTAAGTTACGGTTAGTTATATAGGAAGTTCTCTAAATCTCACACTTATTCCAAAACGACTTAAAAGTCTCTCAGCCAGAGCTGCACATGTCTTAGTTATAAATGAGACTTCTATAGATTTTCTAAGGAGGACTGGATTTTCTCAGCCCCAATAAAGAGTTACATCTTATACACAAAGCCCCAATTGATTGTTGGAGTGTATATGTTCAAAGATAATATCTAATAGGTAGTTTTCCTTTTAGGAAGAAATTCGATTTATGATCAATCCAGAGTTAATCGCTGGCATGCTTTTCCTGCCGTGCATGGCAGACAATGAAGCGATAGAAATTGTTGGTACAGAAAGGTTTTCGAGTTATACCAGGTGAGTTTATATAGAGAATGAATTGCGTATTTGCAACACATTACTAAGTTAACTTGGAACAAATAGGGCTTTTGCTAATTTGTTGAAGCTATAATTACATGGAAATCTTTTGCTGACATTTTGGGTCTTTAACTGTAATTCCGCTTATTTCACATCTTTCAACTGGTGAAGGCATGCCTCTTCATTCCGGTTTAATGGTGACTATGTCGACAAAAAGGACATTGATGTTCTTGGAAGGTGTAAGACTAGGATAGTTGCAATAGATGCACTGTGCTGCCCGGGAAACAGCCAGTACCGACTTGAAGGCCTTCTAAGGTACACAAGTTTCTGTACTCTTTTAAAATGCTTCTTTGGAATATAATTGTTTCATGAAGTCTGTTGAGTCCTTAAACAGATGATACTGAACTCTGTATGTTTTGGATTATCTTTTAGGTACAATTAGGTTCTGGTTTATCTGTTAATAAATCTGTACACGTTGTATGCTCCTCTTTGCCACAAATGTACTCAATTCTGGAGCTACAGAGTGACCTTGTAAGAATATCTGCAAACTGATCAATTGACAAAACTTGTCGCAGTGCACCTTGACTCGACCTTTTGTTAGAATGAAATGACAATCTACTTCAATATGTTTCATTCTTTCATGAGACAATGTTGAACTGTGACCACCTCATCTAGAAGTAAGCTGTCAGAGAGAGTACACTTTTGTTTATTTTGTTGTATCTTCAATATGTCCCCTCACATGCGGATATGATTATTTTCATGGTCAAGCACGTGAAACTTCTTTTAATAATTGGTGGCGGTGAGTTGAACCCGTAATCTCTGCCTTCTCTATTACCAAGTAAATAAAAAAGTAAAAGTAGATATTTTAGTCATTAAAGGTACAATCTAGTCTATTCTTATATGACTGACTACACATCCATCTCTAAGACACTCATTTTGGGGAAATGATGGACTTCCACAAGATTAGTGTCACAGAGATGTGGATACTAACATGGATGTGCGATCTCACTAGGTAGACAAGAAAAAAATTGACATTGTTTAGCAAAAAATGCAAATAACACACGTTGATGATAAAATGAGAAGTCGCTTTGAGATGGTAAAGTAGTTTTTTTTTTTTCTTCCCTTTTCATGTGAGGCTGTACGTTGAATTGATAGGTTAGCATATTCTGCACTGAGGGTGAGACATTTTGACATTTGAAATTCTAACTATTAGTTGATTAACCATGGACCTTTTGTATTTACAGCAAAAATGCTTGGTAGTTGTATTTATTTATTGATGATAAGTTGAATATGTTGTGCAGGGAGATTAACAAAGCATTTTGTGGCTTCATGGATCAATGCAAGTGTCATCAGTATCAACAGCTTTTCAAAGATGATCAAACTGTTAACGCCACCGGTGGAAGGTCCATTGTTAATCTTCTGGTGGGATTTCCTTTTATCATTTTCTAAATCTCCCTCATTTTGTTATTTCCTTTTTCTCCCCTTTCCCATAGCTCTATAGGTATTTCAATTTTTTCATGATCTTAATTGTCTCCGATAGTCACTTGGTCATACTTCAACTTCATCTCAAGCAACCGTGGGAACATCAGGGAATCAGTTAGCCAGAAATCACGAGGGGCACAAGTGTCAACCTTTAGACAATATTCAGCATGAAATTGGTGTTGTGACCGGAAATTGGGGTTGTGGTGCTTTTGGAGGAGATCCTCAACTTAAAGCTATGCTTCAATGGATTGCTGCATCTCAGGTTGTTCATTCTCCTTGGACATTTTCCTGCATTTTTATACGGGAAGTATTGGCTCATGTGAGGCACAGAGCAGTTGCCTTTTTTTCAGGGGATAAATGTACTTAGTGCTTTCTTTTCAATGTCTAGGCGCATTCTCTTTCTCTCTCCTTTTGAGTCGCATCGTAGTTTTTAGGCATAATATATAAACATGACACTCAAACTTCATGTAACCACTTCAACTTTGAGAGTGCACATCTAAACATCTCATCTTGGTCTCAACTAACTACTTAACACCCCAACTCATCCCCACTGTGTCTCATGGACACCCGTCGCTGACACGTGTCACATAAATTTTGGAGGTGTTCGGAAGATCATTTTGTAAGTTGGAGTGTTCAACTGTCACAATGGAGATGAGTTGAGGTGTCTAGATATGCATACTCAAAGTTGGAGTGTTTATTTGCCATATGAGGCCAAGTTTGAGTGACTGTTTATGTATTATGTCTAGTTTTTAACTTGAGGTTAATAATCTTTGAATTCTTGATACTTGTAATGGTTTGTGCTTTATTGCTACTTGTAAATTGTGTTAGACGTTTAAAAGCTTTCGGAAAGGGAAAATGATGTCATATAGACAGAGATGGATGCAGTAAAATGTCAAAATATCAAATACCTTCTTTTAGATGTTCATTTCACTTTGAACATCATCTTCTTCTTTTTTTACATTAAATTTTTATCTCCTTGCATCTCCTACAGGCAATGAGACCTTTCATCTTGTATTATACATTTGGACTGGAAGCATTGCAGATGCTGGAGCAGGTACTTTCTGTCTGTTAATTATTCTATAATGTGTCTGGTACGAAGTTTCATTCGACTTTGAACTGATATGTTTAATCCTAAGGATGTTTGCCGATTTGTTATAGTTTCTGAAAGTCTTGGAAGCTTATATCCGCGTGTGACATTTCTTTGTTGAAAACTTGGTCTAGGTGACTCAATGGATTGTTTCACATAAGTGGACTGCAGGGGAGCTTTGGAATGTGTTGGTGGAATACTCATCTCAGAGATTGAGGGAAGAAACTAGAGTAGGTTTCTTCAATTGGCTCATTCCGTCATTGTCTTCTCACGATGACATACTCAACGATTCCTATGATGATCGAACATGTTCGTGCTGTTGAGCTTAATAATGTTGCTCGGTGCATGTATACGCCATTTCATTGTACTGTATTATAAGGTGAGATGTGTCATCATGGTTCTATCAACATTCGAACTTGGGACCGACAATGTGAAGCTAAGATAGGAGGAGTTGTTGGTTAGATGAAGTTCTAGCTGTTATTATTACACTTATACTCTAGTCAAGTTAGATACTTGTAGATTGTAAAATTGTGGTATAATTGATTGATTGTTAGCTAAATCGGGTGAAAGGTTTGAAAGGAAGAAAAACTATTTACTCCTAAGGTGCCCCACTAATAAGCAACAGCAACAACAACGTACCCAATGTAATTCCATAGGCGGGGTCTGGAGATGGTAGAATGTACGTAGATTTTATCCTACCTCGTGAAGGTAGAGTCTATTTCTGAAACACCCCCCAATAAGAAGCATATGGTAAATTTTATTTGGTCGGATTACAATTTCCGTCTTTTATAACTAGTGATATGTTTAGGGTCGTTAGCTTGCACATACCTTGATATTCCATTGGATACCTATCACCTCTTACTGCATGTATCAAGTAACTTTGTCAACCAATGTTAACACATGTGAAAAATTGTGCGTTTTTTTTTGTTTCTGCTGAGATTTGAATCATGATCACTCATAATTCACTCACTTCATTAATAGCTAGGCCACACCCTTTCGGTATTACAAATTTAACTATCTCCCTTTCATCATTGAAAATGTGTGAAAAATTGAAAACAATACTCTAAATACCCACCCACCAATAATAGAAACCCCAAATTTATAGAGGACAAGTAAGGTATATTCTCAAGGCATATACTTCTCATAGAATATATGGATATTCTGAGCATATATTAATAGTCATACAACTTACAACAAAACATTGTCAATTTGCTATCTTCTTAGTTTCTTCTTACAATATTATTCAAGCTCTTGTGTAAATATAGGTATATACAACAATAACATATCCATTGAAATCCCACAAATGGAATCTGGGGAGGGTAGAATGTACACAGACCTTGTCACTATCTTGTGGAGGTAGATGTGTTGTTTCTAAAAGGCCCTCGACTTAGATGGAGCAATTCCATGTATATATAGGTATATATATGCTAAAATTGTGTAGTTATGAATTTGTTTGTTGATGGTCATCTATTCATCATATCATTTGGCATAGTTTTTGCAACCATTAATATGCCATGATTAGATGAACATCAACAAACATCTTCATCACTTCATGTTAATCCCAAGATTATTTGATCATTAACTATTACTGTCGATGTGTTTGTGCCGACTTGTGTGCACCTTAACTAATTTCACTGGTTATTGAATATTTGTTTCCTTCCACCAGCATCGCATAACTCAAGCTTGTATTATTTTTTTCTTATATCTTAGTAAAAGGTCGTGATTTTGCTACTAGAATCTTTGCGTTTTCATTTTACGCCCCTATACATTTACTTAGTTTTTCATTTCCTCCAAATTTCTCATGCCATGAACAATCTTAGCTCAAATGCTTTATGAGGAATTTGAGTTATCAAGAAAATAACTGATTTTGGTCTATTTTGTAGATATACAACTCATATTTGATCATATCAAAGGGTTTTCCAACTAATATTTGTAATTTTGATGTTATGGTAGGTAATTTTAAAATGATAAAAAATCATTTTTAGTGGATAAGGTTTAATTATTATTAATTTAACCTGAATAAATGATAGTTTAAGTATTATCTGCAACAATAATTTATTTATTTTTTGTTTATCCCCACCTAAGATGGAGAAGACAGCACACATCTCATCATAGTCACAAAAACCCAAATATCCCCCAATCCCCACCTACACCCCAAAACAAAACAAAAAAAATAAATCTTGAAGCTATAAATACACCGTACTTAAATTTTTATAAAATTGAATAACTGAACACATAAGTTCTACGTGAAATAAACATGTAAGATGCCATATAGGATGTCATGTAGGACACGTGTGTTTACTTGTAGAAATTCTATACAAGTTTAAGTGTCTACTTCTGTATATTCAAAGTTGGAGCTCACAGATGTCAAAGTTAAAGGGCACATTTATGTATTATATTGCTATAACAACTAAAATCTAATTATTATGTTGCGATAAAAGTTGTTAGATTCATTTTATAACTTTATTGTCATTATGAATAAAGTTTAATTATTATCTCATACGTAAAAATTAACTCTTATTGCAACACAACAATAATAATTCTTTTATTCATATTCATTTCAACTACAACGTAACACATTTCATCAAAATCAACAAAACCCAAATACAAAGAAAATCATGACAAACACACAACACAAAATCAAAACACCCAAATTAAACAAAAACCTTCAAAACTCAATAACTAGACAGTACACTCGAATTTCCAAGTCCGCAACACCCAAATTTTGGAAGCATATTGTTGATGACAACGTCAGAAATACGATGATAAGCTTCATCTGTCAGATGAAGCCCGTCCCAATTGACGTATTGGGACGGGTTAGGACATACATTAGTACTAGTTCCCGTACATCCCCCGTCTGTATTGTATCGTCCTCCACTTCCACAACATGCCGATACCAATGTGTTTGGATTAAATCCCAACCAATTGGCGTATCGAAAAATAAACCTGAACCCACCATAGTAATCCCCATACACAATTTTAACACGTGGGAACTCACATTGTAGATTTTCTAGAGCCTTCTTCAGCTCAGTGTTGTGGTACATAGCGAACTTATTATAAGATTTCAAACAACCAAATTGATCGTACGCATCTGGATTCGTGTCAGGAAATCTTGTTAGGTATGTTGATAGACACCCAAAAGGGAGAACTCCTGGAACCAAAATGCGAGTTGATCCTAATTGGATCACATCTTTGATGGCACTCATAATGCCATCAATAATTAGAGGTACGTATGTACGTACCTCAGGTTCAGATTTAGTTCCCGCTCCAGCAAAAGCATTCCAATAATCAACTCCACCAAACTCTCCTAATACTATAAGAGAGTTTCGTAGAGTTCTAGCACATTTGGACCCACATGTTGACTGGAGATGAGATTTAAACCACTCTAATTGACTGGGGAGAGGAACATTGAATTTTATAAATCCAATGCCCTTCTCCACCAAAAAAGAATTATTCATCGCCGTTGCACCAGCAACGGCGAAATTAGCACCTTGACTAAAGGAAACACCTGATTTGTCCAAGTAAGCATTGACGAATGGGAGATTGAGAGCAGAGGCAATGTAGTCAGTAATAATACGACCGTCAGTAAAACGTCCAGTAGGTTTATGAAAAAAGGTTTCACCATAAGGTAAACCCCATGCCTGGGCCGATGTGACGGCACCAGGTATGCGGATCACGTTTCCAGCATCGGCGAGAGAATCGCCGAACTGGAAAAGTGATTTGATGCGACATTTTGTTAGGACATCACAATGAGAAGAGTGAAAAAATAAAGTTATTATTATTAGTAAAGGAAAGAAAGAAAATTTGGATAGAAAAAGAGAAGCCATAATTATGAAGAATGATTTGTTTTTTTTTGGTTGAAAACTTTGGAATAGTAAAGTGCTATTTATAGAGAAAAAATAAAACGTACATGCATGTGAGTTTAGATCGTGATTCAATACAAAACATATACTACTAAATATATTATTTAATGCATTTTTTATTTTTTTTTGTGATCCAAACACCAAAAGTTTTATTATGTAGTGTATGTTTTAGGTCTATAAAAACTAACATTTTAAAATATTGTGTTTTTTCACTTCTAATCACATGTAATTTTCTTATGTTCTTTTCGCTATGGATTCAAAGTGTACCTTTGCACATTTATAAAAAGGTGTAATTATTTTATTTAATATATTTTTTATGTAAGGAGAAACAAAAAGGTGTAATTTTTTTATTTTATACATTTTTTATGTAAAGAGAAACCATTGAAAAATATTTTAATTTTTTGACTTACATTCACATATATTAAATATATATTAGATACAAACATTATTATATATAAAATACCTCTTCTATTTATATTGTATTTAATAAATTATTCGTGTTTTTTATGATCGTGTGAAACGCGGATGAGTTCACTAGTTATTTAATATTGGAAAATTGTATATAATAGCAAACTATTAATTCAAATTAAATGCTATAAATATAGTTTGATTTAATTGTACCTCATAGCAAACTGTTGCTATTTCACCTCTCTCCTGGTGAATCTCGCTGGCCACTCTCGTTCTCTCCCTCGCCTCAAGTGTATAAAGTGCGTTTGTGTTTGTATAAAGCGCGTTTGTGTTTGTATAAAGTGCTATAAATATAGTTTGATTTAATTGTACCTCATAGCAAACTGTTGCTATTTCACCTCTCTCCTGGTGAATCTCGCTGGCCACTCTCGTTCTCTCCCTCGCCTCTCTCGTTTTTTATACAAACGCAAGTGTATAAAGTGCGTTTGTGTTTGTATAAAGCGAGAGAAAATTGTATATATACATATATTTTCGTTCCCCTCTCTCCCCTCTCTTAGATCTCGCTCACCACTCTCCCAGATCTCGCTCTCTCACTTGCCTCTCTCACTTTATACAAAAAACGCAAATTGTATAAAATGCGTTTGTGTTTGTATAAAGTGAGAGAGGCGAGTGAGTGAGCTAGATCTGGGAGAGTGGCGAGCGAGATCTGGGAGAGGGGAGAGAGGGGAACGAAAATATATGTATATATACAATTTTCTCTCACTTTATACAATTGATCTTTTTGTATATGTATACCAAAGCAGATTATACAACTGCTTTCTTTTGTATATGTATAGCGAAATATACATATTTATGTTTGCTATGGAGCGCAATTATGCAAACTTTGCTATAGCATACAAATATGAATTTTGTGTTTGCTATATATGAAAGTTGCAATATACACAATTGCGATTTCGATATTTACTATATTGAAATTTGATTTATCATTTTAAACTGAACTTTGAAAGTTCGATACTTAAAATACCTAATATTAATTGGGATCCTATTTATTTTCACGTTGTGTAAGATAACCTTTGGCTAATCGAAAGTACAAAATATAGAATTAAAAACGTGTACTTACCAAGTCTTATCTTATATATATATATATAGTCTTCCAATTATAATATTACAAAATAACAATAATTTATTGCCAATGAAGAAAATTAGCAGCCTAAATACAGAACATTTTTGTCTAAAAATTATTTAATGTAGTGCATGTGCTAGTATAACAACAAGACAAGATGTATTTAGCTAGGGACAAAATTTTAATTTACGTAATTAATTATTATATGATCCATCTAAACAAGGACTCAAATAGACTTTGCTTCAAGCCTTTGGTAGGGAGTGGTTTTCCGAATGGAATCTTATATGGTGCGAATTTGAAATAGTTAAATTTTAATGTGGATATCGAATATCAAGTGGCAAGTGGGAAATTAATAAAAAAAAAATACTTTGGTGGTATAGATAATCAGTTATATACATAATATGTTTGTCGGAATTTTGGGTGCGTTTGGTACGGAGGAAAGTATTTTTTGATTTTTTTTATGTTTAGTTGATCAAAATTATTGAAAATGTTTTTTTTTTTTTTTTAGAAAGCAAGTTCTTTAAAAATGAAGAAAATGATTTTCCTAGTGGAAGTAAGAAAAACAATAAATTCGACAACTGACATTCCATATTTATTGTGTCTTCCCTTGCACCCTCCAACTGTCCAACATACCTCATCTTTAGTTCTTCACCCAACCTTCGTAGCTTCCATCTTCACCATAACCGTACTATCTTTCATAATATTTATCTAAATTATATATAAATACATTAATACTCTTAGAATTATATTTTTTACTTTGAGCACAAAAAAATTAGTAAGAACTCACTTAATTAAATCTTTGGGCTGTTCAGTGCAACTTGCCCTCATTTTAGTATTTAAGCTAATCTCAAAGGAATCTTTTTGGGTAGCTATTTTTTCCTTTAAAAAAATCTATTATTCCCTCTGTCTCATATTAGTTATATACCTTAGTAAATACTTTTTGCAAATTACTTGCTAATATATAAAATGAAGATAAGATTACCAATTTGTCATATTTTATCCTTATAATCAATTTTTCTTTTTGAAAGTATAAATAAATTTATAAAGTTTCAAATAAAATAATTAAGAATAAATTAGTAAAATTATCCATATGTATGATTACTTAAGCTACGTGTAATGAAAAAAGTGGATTACTAATATGATATGGAAGAGGTAATAAGAAAAACTGAACTTGCGTACATGTGTCATGTGTGAAAGACTTGCACTCAAATGACTTATTAACAACTCCTTTTATCTAAATTTTATTTGTCATAGTTTAATTCGATATGAAATTTAAGAAAGGAAGAACATCTTTAAAAAAATATAATTTTTTAGATTTTATCATAGCATTTCTATAATGATTAAATTATAGGGGTAACTTTTAGTTTAACTAAGTATTCATAAAATTTTAAAATAATTTAATCTCATACATTGAAATGAGTTGGCAGACGTCATATTTTCTTCATTAAAAAAAGTTAGATGACGTCATAATTCCTGCATAGAAATTCGTGTTAGCCGCCGGTAGTTAAATATTTATTTGCACATGAAATTTATATCAAATTATTTATATTTTAAATAATTTAATGAGGTAATAGTACATAATTTGTGATTGAGTGCCAAAAATTCTATATGAACACATGCTACTTTCATCATTTCAATTTGACAGATTTTTACTTGACAATTTGTTTCAATTTATTTTGTTTGGCTTTGTTTTAACACAAAATTAAAAAAAATAGATTTAAAATATATGAAATATATTAAAATATCTTTGCCTTAATTTTTTTTTGATAAAAAATATAAGTGACTTAACCATAAACAAATTTATTTGGGCATCTTGCCAGTTGTTCTTAATGATATTCTATTCTTGTATTTATTCAAGAGGAAAAAAAAACGTGAACAGGAATAATGACACTATTTGGATAAAAAATTGACTTGTTCAACATTAACAGTTAATTTATTCAAAAATAAAAGAAATTGAATTGGAGTTTATCTTTGTGCAACATTAATTTCTATCATATTTAGTTAAGGAAAAAAGAGTCAATTTTGTCAATGTTATTGCATAGGGCAAATTACTATTATTTTCAAATTTTTTCCATCCCATAAAATCGTTAGCTATTTTTTTTTTTTATTTACGTGAGAGAAAAATTGACCCTTTCCCCTCTAATTAATTAAAAAGAATTTTATCACTTGAGATTTTACGCCACATAAAAGATTAGTGATGCAAATTTTTGAATATATGACAGGATAAAGTTCAATTTATATAATTATAGAAGAAAAGGTAATTTTTATTACTTGGATACTAATTTAAGTATATTTAATGGAACATTATCAACTACTTTTTAGAAGAAAAAGAAAGTTAATTTGGATAAAGTTCATCATCATTTTCGAATAAATATTTTTTTGAGACCACTAAGTAGGAATGTATGGATTTAATGTTAAAGTAATGATATAAAAAAAGTTTTATTCGATTATGTACATTTAACATATGGAACAAATTAAAATGTGAATATATTTGATAAATTACATTTTTAAAAATTTATTACGTTTTTATACTTTGAATTTGTTTCTACACGAGAAAAATTCAATTATGTTTCTAATTAGCGATTCATGAAATTGTCACGTTTTTTGTTATAACCAACTAGTCATGAAGTCAATTTTCAGCGATTATATATATGTATGTATATAAAATGCAACTACGTCAACCTAACAAGTTTTTGTAGGAGGTTTCTGGGTATGAAGTCATCGTTATTAGGGAGATATCAATGTGGGACTTTTCAATATAAATTTGAATTCAATCGAACTTCAATATAAATATCGAACTAAAAAGAAAATAATTTATGTTATATCTAAAGAAAGATAGAATATACGTACTTCGTTTTTCTAGTTGACATAATCAACAAGTATTTGGTGCATTTAATATAGATACATACTTACTAGAATTTTGTTAGCAAAGGGGAAAATTAATTAAAATATGCTAAGAGACCTTTAAGTGTTAATTAATTAATAATTGTATGCTTGACATAGTTTAATTTGTTTTTTCAAATATTTTGTATTATACGATATATATTTATCCAAGATATACACCTAGAGAGATTGGTTGGCACGTCAAATCATACATATGTATAAATGGTATTTGACCTTTCTCGCAAAGTTAATTATGGACGAGTAAAAATAAAAGGAGAGCTTATATATCAATAATTTCCACTTCAATGAACCCTTTATGATTTTCATCTGTTTTGGGGCCATAATTAATTATTTTTTTAGTTTTCTATTCGATATTTGATATTTGTATTGAAATTCAGCAAAAAATAAATTTGTACTGAAAAATTTCACATGGACGTAAAACACTTTCTAACCAACGCGAATAAAGAAATACTCATCAATCCATCAGTTCACTTATTGATGGGACCATTATTAAATATACAATTGTATCTAAAAACTTGGCTTGTTTACCTAGTCAAATATCTTCTTTAAAACCACTTTCAAAGATTATATAATACGTAATGTAGCTTTTTGCTCATCGATAACATTTTTGATGGACTTTTTGTCAAAAATCCTCTCACCAACATATCAAATTCCAACGAAATGTCCATTGAAACTTAGCAATTATGTAACAATAAATATCATGCCTAGTATGAATCATGATGAGGCACAAAAATTACTAATAACTATATATTCCTTATCTCATGAAGTTAGATAAACATAAAAAGTAACACATTTAGATTCCTTGTACTTAGATAAATTATCCAAATTTCATTAAGGACCTAAAAAAAATAGACTGCCACTAACACAAATTAGTCTAATTAAATGTGATCTACCTACCCCATTTTAGCTTATTGGAAAACAACAGCCAATGAGACTTTACTCATCCAGTTGGTTCATGAAACAAGTAATTTCTTAACCCGTTTTATTTTACGCGTCTTAGTTTGATTAGATATGAATTTAAGAAAAATAAAAATGTCTTAAACAATACTAAAAGTACATTTAAATTATCAAAAATGTTCTTGAATCTTGTGATATTAAAAACATTATCTGAAATGCTAGAATTAAAAAGTTACTTAATATATAAAACATTATTCTTTTTTAAACATTTTTGAAAAAAAAACACATAAATTGAAATTCAGAGAGGGAGTTGCTAGTAAGTCCAATTTGACTCACTTTTTTGGGTTATTATTTGATATATATACATCAGAATTTTCACCATAAATATGCAGTAATTATTTTTTTTACAAATATATCGAATGATGGAATTAAGATAATACAATTTAAAACAAATGAAAATCACTCCCAAGAATGTGGTGATATCGATACATAGACGAATTCAAAATTTTGAGTGTATAAATTTGAATTCTTATAATATAACTCATTAAGCTATTGCTTATTTACACATATATATAAGTGACACATAATTTTGACCAAAATTACTGGTTCTACCGAATTCATAGCTCCGCCTTTGATAGGATGGAAAAATCCCCTCCACCCCAATGCTAGCTATCAAGCGATCACGGATTCAAGGGAATCCCACTTCCTCTCTAGTAAATCTGAATTAATCAAGAATGTGGTGATATATTGATACATAGACGAATTCAGAATCTTGAGTGTATAAATCCTAAATTTAATATAATTTATTAAGTTCTCGATTTATTATACATATATTTAAGTGACACATAATTTTGACCAAAAAATTATTGGTTCTACCGAATTCATAGCTCCGCCTTTGATAGGATGGAAAAATCCCCTCCACCCTAATACTATCAAGCAATCACGGATTCAAGGGAATCCTACTTGCTCTCTAGTAAATCTGAATTAATCGAGCCAGTAATTTTCTAATATCAATGTATATATATATAAAAACAATTTGAAAACCATACATACTCCTTTAATTATTTCTTCATCCACCAGTAACACATGAAAACATTCTACGATGACTTCTAAATTTCAAAAGTTGTTTATCCTTCACCGGAATATTATCCTCCGGTAAAACTCCGCCGGTATATTCCACGTGGAGGGATTGTGTTCGTCTATGATGACGTTTTTGCTCTGTCTGATTACCACCATCACTGTCAACCACCATCTTCTGATCATTAATTGATGACGTTTCGTAATCTTTACTATTATTTTTTGGATAGAAATTTTCGATATCATAAGTATTAGCAGTACCAAAAGAGAGACATTCATATTTTCGACGAGTTTTTGTTCTCTTAATGGTTTTGTATACTAATGGAATAAGTCCTTCCATGATACTTTTTTCTTTGAAGTTGAAAGAGAAGGAGAAGAGGAAGAAGAAAAATGAGTTATTTGAAGACTTTTGGCTTAGCTAGTTTTTGTTATATATTAGGGGTTTGGTGAGAGTTTCCAAGTTTTATTTTTCTTCTTATACTAAAAATATCCGGAGTTTAAGTTATACCGTCAAATCTTTCTAGAACAGTCATTATTTAAAAAAAATATCAAAAATATAATTGATATTGATTTCAAGTCAAAGGTCAATAAAAAAGGGGATTTCTAGTGTTTTTATTTTGTAAAAACCAACCTTAAAAAGTATTTTTTTTAAAAAAAAAAATTCTTTTTTATTTTGTAAGAAAAACCTTTGGAGGTGAATTTTTTGCAAAATTTTATAAACCTAAACTGATCTCTGGAGGGCGATTTACATTTTTGGCATTAAAAAAGTTGATCTCTAAAAGTCGATTTTGTTAAGAAAACATATATTAAAAAATCAACATCCAAGGTCGGTTTTTTCTACGAGTATCATTTTTTGGAGGTCAATTTTTGTTGTGTTTTTAATTAGTAGAGTGTAATAACATTTTACTAAAATGCCAAATTCTTTTTGGCATTTATTTTTTATATTATGTTATACGGGTATGTTTTCTATAATATTTTTTTTTTATAACAATCAAAAGATATTCACACAACAACACTGGTATATATACAGATTTAACTGTATATAATATTAATCGAAACAAAAATTTTGTACCATTAAGTCAGTCAAATAATATCTTTACAAAAAATCATAAAATATATAATCTTGAAAATAAGATAATATATCTCCAATAATATATATGGAAGCACTACAATAAAAATGATTTTTAGTGGCAATAAATTCTTAATTGCCGCTAAATATATACTTTTAGCGGAAATTAACACTTTTTATATATGTCCCTAAAGTCTTTAGCGACATTGAATCTAATGGTACTTAACTAATGCCGATAAATAACTTTAGCACTCTTCATTAGTATACTTATTTATTATCGCTAAAACTTATTTCTGTTATAGTGAAGTATATATATCTCTTTATTCTTTCATTATTTCTACATTGACTTGATCATATATCTTGCCCCCCAATCATATCCTATTCTTGTATTTGTTTATAATTTATTCTAGAGAAAAATGTGTATATGAAAATGACACTCAATTGAAGATTGACTTGTTCTTCAATATTTATTCATTAAAATAAAAAGCAAATTGATTTGGATGTGGGATTTATCATGACATAAAAGATTAGTGATGCAAGTTTTCTAGAAGATATTAAAAGGATAAACGTTAGAATAATCTTTGACTAATATGCATCGATAGTGTAAAAAAATTATATACTATATCATTAGAAATTTAGTTATAAATAATTATTTATAATCGACGTAGCTTTGTGATCTACAAAACACGATAAGTAACTTGTTAAAACAAGTATAAACAAATCAATAATGTTAACTTTTTTTAAATGAGAGAAGGAAAAGGAAAGTTTAACTACTTTAATTTTAGAAATTTGATTATTTTTATTATTAGTATTTGATGGAATTTTTCTTCTTGATTAATTATTTATTTTCTTATTATTAAATGATAATTAACACGATTATTTTTCTTTTATTGACTTAGTTTTAGCTTATGTGTATACTCATCCAATTTGCCTTGTGAAAGATTACGTGTGTACCAACAACCTAAAACCTTGTTTAGTTTAATTAAGAAATTTCCTAATTGTGATCTTTCTTTGCTATATCTCAACATTGTATGTAGTTTTCATAGCTTAATTAACACTAAACATGACCGATTTAGTTTTAAATATTCGCATTTGGTGTATGTATATAAATACACAATTTTTGTGATTTTTTTAGAGTTGGTGAAATTAAAGTATGGAAAAAAAGAAGAATTCAAACCCTCGATAAAAAAAACCCACATAGTGATTCTGAATCGTCTATCTCTTCTACACAATGATTATGATTTAAAATTGAGTTATTAGAACATCAATTAGACAAATCCATTCAAAGTACTAGATGAATGAAATATATTGTATTTTCTTGCTAAGAGTCAAATAGTGGGAGTTCTTGTTTGATTTTTTTTTTTATTTCACTTTCTAGATTACCTAATCCACTTTTGCCATAAAAAAAGAGTGATAATAACAGTTACTATTAAGTTAATAGTGTACTAATTAATTAGTACTTTATATAAAAAAAATATATTAAGTCATCTAAAGAACAAGTACTTGGAGCATTTCGTGAAGATATAGCTACTTCTTATGTCTCAGTTTATGTTGCACTTCTCATTTTCGAAATTCAAATTATGTAAACTTCGAACGATATGTTATAAGTTGATCTAATCCAATGATTAGTTAAATTGACTTTCCGAATATCAAAATATTTCATAGAGGAAATAGTAGAATAGTTGAACTTTGATGTACCTTTTTTTTTTTTTTTTTTTTTATGTTGATGACTCTTTATTACAATATATTTTTAAGAGATGCACCTAGATAAGTTTGTTGAAACGTCAAATCATACGTATAATTTATAAATGCTACTATTTGATATATGTTCTGTATATGAAAATGTCCAAATTAGTCCATATACTATTTAAAATTGCTCAATTTTGACATTTGTTAATTACAAATTTTTTGTTTGTAAATCCTCTTACATTAGTCCTTATCTTAAACAAAGTTTCACCATGAACGGATTCCATGTATTCAAATTCTTTGGAAAAAAAAGTGAGATAATATTAGTCAAAAGGTTAGACAAACAATTAAGTTATTCGATTTCGAATAGTACATTTTTTTTTTTCCTTTTTTTTTTTTTTTTTTTTTTTTTATGTTGATGACTCTTTATTACAATATATTTTTAAGAGATGCACCTAGATAAGTTTGTTGAAACGTCAAATCATACGTATAATTTATAAATGCTACTATTTGATATATGTTCTGTATATGAAAATGTCCAAATTAGTCCATATACTATTTAAAATTGCTCAATTTTGACATTTGTTAATTACAAATTTTTTGTTTGTAAATCCTCTTACATTAGTCCTTATCTTAAACAAAGTTTCACCATGAACGGATTCCATGTATTCAAATTCTTTGGAAAAAAAAGTGAGATAATATTAGTCAAAAGGTTAGACAAACAATTAAGTTATTCGATTTCGAATAGTACATTAACAAATTTTACACTTTTCCAAATATGTGTCTGTTCTATTTTGCTCTTTTGTTTTTTTAGAGTTTTCATATGGTGTTCGATATTTTCTTTGGGACCTGAATAAATATTGAATTTGCACTAAGAGATGTGAAGTCCGTTTTCAGAATAAAATACTACCTATCAAATGTGATTTCATTTCCACTTCGAACTCAAAACTTTTAGTTAAAAATGGAACGGTATTTGATGATTGCTTTGCTTATAGTACTTTTACAAGTTTTTAAATTTTATTCAAAAACGCTTAAAAAACTGATCCAAATTCATAGATGCTTTGATCCTCATACTCTGAATCCCTTCGCGTAAAATACTAAAATAGAATGGAGGGAGTAACTTTTTTGGTAAAAAATAAATGTTATAAGATTATTTTCAACAACAAAAAAACAAACATAGATTTTCAAATCAAAGATAATTTTTTTTCCTTTTTTTCAAAAAATAAATATCCTTGCCAATTTTCAATCCTAATATTCCAAATGTTTCCAACAGCCTTAATTTTCTAATACCATCATTATAGAGTCAACTTACTAACAATAATTGTATAGTGTATAGTGCATACACAATTTGAAAGACTATTAAATATTTCTATAATCAATCCTTTTTTGATTCATTTGCATAATCAAGAAAATGGTAGAAGAAATCAAGAAAATCATCATTGATACTGACCCTGGAATTGGTAATTTTGCTTTTATTACCACTATTTATATTAGAAATATAAACAACAATCTCAGATTAATCTTACTAGTGAGAAATAGTTTCTTGTTCTTCGATTTTGATTATTACCTGTGTTTTTTGTGGTTTGGTTGTCACATTGTTTCGTTGTCATTACTGTTCTTTCTTTTGTATGTTGTGTATTACTCTATGAGGTAGTAGTAAGATTTGCGTACACTCTATCCTCATCAGATTTCACTAGTGGGATTACACTGTCGTATCTTCCTGTTTTTGTTTCTTCATAGTAAGTAGAGTTTGAGCTGAATTGAGCATTTCAAGATTTCATTTTTTTTTGTCATTACCAATTCAACTGTTGAGTTAATTGAGATGTTATATGAATTATTATCATGTTTAGATGATGCAATCGCGATTTTCGTGGCACTTCAATCTCCTGAAATTGAAGTAATTGGACTCACAACAATATTTGGTAATGTTCATACAACTCTGTCCACCAGAAATGCTTTACATCTGGTAAAGTTCTTACCTTTATTTCATTCTATAAACCAGTACTGGACACGGAGTTTAAGAAAGAACGACTTTTCACGCATACTAAATGACTAGAAATATCACTCATGATGATATGGGATGTTCAGTTTTCAAATATAGAAACGTGTTGTTCTTTTTAGAACAGACTAAAAAGGAAAGGGTAACATATAAAATGGAAACGTACGTTTAGTTCTTTTGCCATAAGCATGAATGTTGATTTCGGGTTTTGATGATTCAGTTGGAGATAGCTGGGAGGACAGATATACCAGTGGCTGAAGGCTCACACGTTACTGTCACCGTATGTCCTACTGCTTAAATCCTTGTTCAGTTCTCTGTCTTATTGCTCATCTAGACTTATTTAGCTGTCAAATGATGTATGAACTTTCCATATTACCAGACAAACGAATTGAAACGGAGGGAGTATAAGATTTACAGAATGAAATGAACACTTCTAACGTTTACCTTTGTTCATTAAGCACATTCAGAGCTAGCATAGAACTTTTTCCCCTCACATTCCGCGGACTCTGTTTATATTCATGTAAAGGAAGGCGTAAAACTTCAAAGTAGCGGATATGTTCATGGCACGGATGGACTCGGGAACCAAAACATTTCTCCACCCAAAGGAAAGCCTATTGAACAGACTGCAGCTGAATTTCTCATTCAGCAAGCTAGTCTTTACCCTGGAAAGGTCACTGTTGTGGCCTTAGGCCCCCTGACTAATATAGCACTTGTAAGTATCATATTTCCCAACTTATAAACATAAGAGATCTTATTGGTCAATAACACACGAGAGGTGCGATTTTCCTACCTGATCAACTATCAGGTGTTTGTGTTTCCTACTTGAACTATCACCAACTATTTATCAAAACACGCCTCGAAATCAATGAGTTTTCCATGTGGACGAAACTTTATGAGCAAATTAAGTTATCACGTGCCTTTTGGCAATTGTATTCAAACACCTAGTCTAATCAGCTTCGAGGTGTGTTTTGATAAATAGTTGGTGATTGCTCAGGTAGGAAAATCGCTAAAAAGTGATACTTCAAGTGAGTGTGTTTTTGACCATTATCTCTAAAAATAATGTTCACCATATTTTGCATATGAACAGGCTATTCAGTTGGATCCTGAATTTTTCACAAACGTCGGTCAAATTGTTGTTCTTGGTGGTGCTTTTTCTGTAAATGGAAATGTGAGTCCAGCAGCTGAGGCAAATGTAAGTTGCTAATAGCTACATTCTTATATGTGCTTCAACTTCTCAGACTTAGTTTTTGATTTTTCTTTTTTTACTCATACTCTTTTTTATTCTTCGTCTGCGCAAGATCTTCAAAGATCCAACTGCTGCTGATATTGTATTTACAAGTGGTGCTGATGTTCTTACTGTTGGATTAAATATTACACATCAAGTTGTCCTTACTGGTAATCTTTTCTTTGTTGCTTAAGTTTCATTTCAAGCCACTGTCTCTGTTGTTATTTTAAACAGAATATGATTAATAGAAACAAATACTAAGAGAGTAGTGAAGAGGAGGTGCGAGAGTTTGGCTATAGCAAGTTTTAGCAGAGGTAGAGGTGTAGGCCAAAGAAGAACGAGAGGATGTGATTAGACAGGACATGAGTAGTCTTCAACTTACTAAGGACATGATCCTAGATAGAAAGGTACGGAGGTCGAGGATTAAGGTAGAAAGGTAATAATCCTATCTACACATAAGTATCTTATTCTCCATTTTTTACTACTACCTGTTACTTCATTTGCTTTGTTTATCTTGTTATTTTGCGGTCTTAGCTCCTAGGGTCCTGTTTTAGTTAACTTCTCTAGATAGCATCTATCTTATTTACATCTATCTACTGTTGGTAGATTCTCATCGTGGCGAATTGGCAAAGTCCAATGGAAAATTTGCCAAGTACCTCAGCAAGCTTTTGGATGTCTATTTCGATTATCACCATACTGCATACAACACGAGAGGTCTGTCTGTTTCCATATTTCTTATTTGGTGTCTGCTCACTTTCTTTACGGGCTCTATGTAGGTGTCTTCCTTCATGATCCAACTGCCTTACTTGCTGCTGTTAATCCATCACTCATCACCTATTCAGAAGGTGTCGTTCGCGTTCAGACTGTTGGCATCACAAGGGGTCTCACAATCTTTTATAATAAACAGAAAAGGTATTTGGTTCATAGTGCCTTATAAGTGTTTGCTATATTTCCCTATAACTTACATATTTCATTTGCTATTGAATTTACAAGGTTTGTTGAAGTCACTGAATGGTCTGAAAAACCCTCAGTTAAAGTGGCAGTAACTGTTGATGCTCCTAAAGTTATCGAATTGGTGATGGCACGACTCGTCAATTCTTAGAAGTATTCATATGCTACTACAAGAACACTTATTTGAACAATGTTATTGTCTTTCTGCACTCAATATTCAGAAACTTAACTGCCCCCTAAAGAGGTGGTTGATGGGAAGGTTGCAGTATATAAGCTATGAATTCGGGTTACATATCAGTCGCCATGATGATTGCTTGTTTGTTGTGACTGTGGCATCTCTATTAGGCTATATGGAACGGAATCTTAAACTATAGACCGAGTACTACTCTCAGGAACTAGGAAGAATGTATGTAAGCAGTAAGCTTCTGTATCTTAAGCAACACAGCTCATATACAGATTATGAACTTGCAAAAATAAGTTACAGCTAGACAAGTCGTGCTCTGATAGATTTAATCTTGGTGTAAAGATATGACATTTGAGCCTAACTCAACTCCAAAAGGTACCTCACGAGAGGAGGATTTCCCACGTCCATATAAGGAGGTCGACCACATGTCCATTCCCCAACCAATATTAGACCCTAACCCAGTCTAACACCCCCTTTACATCCAGGCCCAACTGGAATGTGGATCGAGAGTTCAAACAGGGATAGACCTGGCTTTGATACCATGTAAAATATGACATTTGAGCCTAACTCAACCCCAAAATCTAGTTCATGAGGGGAGGATTGCCCAAGTACATATAAGCAAATCACCAATTGTGGGACTCTTAACAGTTTTGTCCAAGTTTTTGAGCTCCCTAGCAGTCCACGGCAGCTATCGGCCTTAGACTTGGACTGATCTGAGTCTTCAACTAAACCCTTCATACTTTGATATAATCAATTGATGGATCAAGAGGACAATGAAGTGAAAATAACTTACTGGATTGTGGATACTATATAAGGTATTACTATCTAATAACTGTAGGACCTTCAACTTGGCAATAAGAGTCATGTGATCATGCAAATAAATTTCCTGTGAGAACGTCCATACATTTACATAGGATAGAACTATTGATAATATATTCAATTTCTGTTAGTATACACAAAAACTAAGATGAAGCTAGAGGGGAAGATTCTTTGCTACATTTGTGTGACTTTACTTTAACCCCTCAGGTTTTGCTTCATAAACACGACGGAAACCTAGTGAAGAAACATAAAAAAAGCACAGATTTCCTGAAAGATCTTTGCTTTAACAAACATAAACAGGAAAACAAGTTGAGACTCAATCCGCCGATTCAACTATATCATCTCCAACTGGATTGACAGTGTCTCTAAGACCCTGCCATCAATACTGCAAAAAAAGAGCACATTTCCACTTCTCCATTTGGAAATGCTCACACAAGTAGCCACCCCAGACCACATAACCAGACACACTTGTTATGTTGTTTTAATCGCAACAGGTTTACCTCGACCCATGGAGAAGCCCCTGGTGCCATCTGGCATGCGAGGGACAGAAGCTTGCTTGACTGGTGCTGACTGATCAGAAAGCATTGAGGGTTGCCCTGCTAGACTAAAACGATTGATGCTTGATAGTGCACTTCCCACACTGTATGCACGCCTCATACTTGCCTGGGGAGTACCTAAATGACCTCCACGACTGGTTTGATGAAACTGAGGACGTCCACGTCCCTGACCAAGTCCCTTAACCCAACTGCGATTGAGTCCTTTCCTCTGCCCATCGACGCCATGCTCCTCCTGTTATTTAAAACACCAATAAATAAACTCAGAATCATTCACTACATTACATATTCATTTTTTGAAAGATAACAACACTTACTGCAAGGTCATACAGGTGAGTATCAAGGTGGTGCCACAGGTCGTCACTATGTTTCTCGCTGGCCTCTGATGAAGTATCGTCTTCCTTGAAGCTGACCTCACTCTCGTAACCAACTTTCTTCCCTCGAATTTGACCAGATTTTCCCTGTGAGTTCAACCAAAATCTATAAATGCTCAATAGACAAGAATTCAAGACTTAAAATGGAACCAGAAGCTCTAATTCCCGAGTTCCAAAGGCTGCGGTTGGTCCTAAGATTTGGCCCCAGAAAAAATTTTCAGTCATAAAAAAAGATGCAGCTTTAGATTAACTATCAGGATAGTATATGTCCAACACATACCGTGCACCTGTTCAGTATACGGACTTTCAGACCATTTCGCCAGTTATCCTCATCATTTAGCTCCATAACCTACAAAATAAGATTGTGAAAGGTTAAAGGGTGCAACAGAGAGATGATCCGGGGTATCATATTGAACAAGTTTTGATTTACTTACCGCCTTCTCAGCCAATTCAATACTTTCGTATTCCACAAATGCATGCAACTGCATTTAAGTATTTCAGTTCAGATTCTAGAAATGAAAAATGATACTCGAAAGATTAAGACAGACAATGAAAAGCTACTCCACTCTACCACTGTGCTTCCAAAAAATAGTACTCCCACCGTTTCAATTAGTTTGTCTGGTTTTGACTTGGCACGGAATTTTAGAAAGTAAGAAGACTTCTCAATCTTGCGATCTAAAACTAAAGATATGTAGAATGTACTAACATGTCTTTTAATCTTGTGATCTTAAACATGCCATGTGGAAAGTTGATATTAAGGAGTTGTCAAAAAAAGAACGAGTCAATCAGTCTGAAACGGACTAAAAAGGAAAGTAAGACATAAATTGAAACGGAGGGAGTAGCACTTAGCAATTTTACCCTATTTTGGTTTCTTATTTTCCAGTAAGAAGTATGCATTACAAGTTCAACTTGAGATACATCATTTCATGTATGTTTGATGTGCACCTTGTTACTATACAATGTGCTATCTGACTTTCCAGTTCTAGACGCTGCAGAAGCCCCGCCATTTAACTGTGGTTGGCATGTACGAATCATTCTTACACTGACAGAATCAATTAAGAAATGATCAATCTTACGAAAACTGTTGATTTGTTTCTAAAAGCAAATTTCCATAAACTATCTTGTTTATACCTTCCAACAGCTGAGAAAATCTTCATGAGGTTCTGGTGGCAGTGATCATCGGGTAAATTCTCAGCAACCACTATGCGAGACTAAAAGAGACAGAAGCAAAGTGTTAAAAATGACAACCAGACAATGGAAATACAATGAGAGCAGTGGTGATCCTGGCAGAGCCATGGTCAAGAAAGGGGGTTCAATTGAATTATACTGCGCAAATAGGGAAAAGGTAACTTTTTTTCCATATATATATAAACTTTTGAATCCCCTTGACATAAGTGAAGTAGTTCAAAATTGCTTTAGGTTGCAAGTTCGAATCTTTTGAATCATCTTGGTCAAATTTCTGGCTCCGCCACTGAATGAGAATATTGACAAAAGTATAGTTGCTTCACAAACTCGTGATCAACTGTCCTTGTTCTAACAGATCGATACATCATAGACTGCACTGCTCAAGACAGAAAGTGAAACACTAGCCATAGAAAAATGAACTTACTTGCAGCTCTTCCAAGTCCTTTTCAGACAGCGGAAATTGGCGTCTAACCTTTCTTCCATCTTCACTAACCACCTAGAAACAGAGAAATCAATTACATAAGTATGTAAAAGAACTAAAGTAAATGCAAGATATCAAGATTTTGAATGTGGAAACAGGTGTATTACAGGTAGCAAAAATATTTCACACAGAGTGAGTGGCAGGGTTCAACGTCTACTATATATACATAACAAAAAAATTGACTTTGTATATACAATACAAGTTTCCGGCAAAGGAGGTTCAGATGAACCCCCTTCCGTCCCTGATGGGGATGATAGATGTGAGGGGAGGAAATGAGGAAAAACTCACAAGCTTTGTGGAGCACTGCAGAATTTTCGCAACGTAGGCATGATTACTCGTAAGAGCTTTAATCTTCTTGAATGATGCAACCACAGACATTGGTACTACAACATCGAATAAAAATCGAAAAGAAACCAAAAGATTCATCAGATAAAAATTTGAACTTTGAAATTTCAATGAAGACAAGATTATTATATTACTCTAGAGATCTTACCATATCCTTCTGGATCCTTAAACATAATCCTTATTAGATGATCAGTTGTTGCCAAATTTATATCACTAAAATAAAATTCCACCTGCACAGAATGTAACAAAGAAAAAATTGAAGTTTTTCTATCTGGAACATTACTTCAAATGGATTATTCTTAATCCAATTCCAATACCATTTTCAACTTTTTTTTCCAAATTTCACAGTTGGCGTAATACATAAATATGTCTTTTAACTTCGTTTCAGCTAACATCTACGCTCTCCAGCTTTTAGTGAGCATAAGTAAGCCTTTAAACTTGTATAAAATTGAACAAATAGATACACACGTCCTACCTAACATATTACACATCGCACGTCACGCCATGCCGGACACATGTGTTTACTTGTTTTACAAAATTGATTGTCTACTTGTGCACCCCCAAAGCTGGAGGACATATTTATGTATTGTGTGATCACATTTTATATCCAAATGCAAATTAAATACACAAACAAATTAATCATACCTGATTAATAATTTTTTGACAAGCTTCATCACTTAACCGTTCAGAATCGGCACCAATAACCACCACCGCCGGCAAACCGCCATGATCAACAAATCCCCTTCCAATGCCACCACCATAAGGATATTGCACAGGCAATTGAGACGCATAAATATAATTTTGTACAGGAACATGCGTAGTGATCTGATGAAATGTAGCAGACGGTGTTGCAATAAGATGCACCACCGTCTGTCCATTAACGGGCCCTGATCCAGGCCCGATCCTACTCCCGGGCCGATTATTTAAATCGGCCCGGGAGGATTGAGGATGTGACATTGTCGCCAATGAAGGCGAGGAAGATGATTTAGCCAACATAGCTGATGATAATGATGGAGAAGACGAACTTCGTGGAATAAATGCAATTGCACGGGCGTTGAGTTTTGTATAAGAAGGAGATAACGGAGATGAAGAAGAAGGCGTTGATTCGAATGGATGATCCAGATCAAGTGAAGCTGATGAAGATGTAGCAGTTGAATTCAATGAATCGAGGAATAATGTATCATGTTCTATAGCCATAACAATGCACAAATGATGTAATTTTTTTTTTTTGATGTATATAGATATAGATATAGATACAGATTATTAATTTTTTTTCGAGATCGAGTGTTTTTTTTGACTAATTAGTGTTATCTTTTTTTGCTTTTTCTTATTTCTTCTTCGTTTTCTTTTTCGTTTTCTCTTTCCCCCTAACGTGACGACGGGGGAAAGGGGAAAGGAAAAAAAGAGGAGATTCAATGGAAGTAAGAATCAAAAATGAAGAAGAAAATGGTGGGGGAAGAGAATGGAGAAGAGTTCTCGGTTTTGAGTTTGTTACTACAATAAACTATTTATACTTTTTTTTTATTTCACTGATTTTATTTTTAATTTTTAAAATTATTTGGACATGTGGAAGAAAGAGGAAGAAAAAACGCGTGAATTAATTAGATCCTATAATCGGATTACCGTTCAATAAAGAATTGGTTTGCATGCATGGGAGCTTGGAATATATTTTTGAGGTTATATGGTTTTAAAATTAAGTTATGCAGAAATTAATAAGGAATATATATAATTACTCAAAAAGACCATATGGTCAATTTATTTATTTTAAAAAAGAAGAGAAAAGAACACTTGGATCCAAAAAGAAAAATTATTTATAAGCGGTTATCCCTTACTTTCATACCCCATCCTGATTTAACTACTAATGTGTGTGAAAATACTATTCATGTCCTATCTAATCACTTCTCCTCAATGTTTTTTTCGGCCTACCTCTACCTCTCCCTATGCCTACTACATCCAACCCCTCGCACCTTCTCATAGGGGAGTATGCACATTTCCGTTTTATATGTCCAAACTATTACAATCTTGCATCTCTCACCTTGTCTGTCATTGAAGTCACTCCTACATTTTCCTAGATAACAAAACTACACAAATTGGACCCATTAGGCAAAGTATTTACCTAAATTGGACCCAACTCAAAATATTACCTTATTGAACCCACATCCCAAACTATTTACCCGACTGCCCCCTTGTTCTATTCATTGATATATATATATATATATATATATATTTATTAAAATGATATCTATAAACTCTGATGGTATCAAGTAGTAATTGAATATTTTTCACTGAAACATTGTTTGTTCTCCTTGATGTCACACATATATATATACTCCAATGGTATATACTTTAATCGTATCAATGAGTGATTGACATAACTTCAGATTATCGAAGACCTGACCTTAGATATGATGGATGTGGAGGGTCGCGTATTAGGGTGAAATGTTAGTAGGTAGTGGAGTGTTGCCTTGTTTTTGAGAGTTAATGGTTTTGTTGTTTGTCGTTGTACTAGTCATATTCTTGTTAGTTCTAGTTTTTGATATTTATCTTCATCTGTCTATTATGTTTTGACTACTGTAGTACTATTCCGTTGTTCATATTTTTTCTTTGTAGGCTCTGTGCTACCTCTCCTATTAGTTGTTATGTTTTGTCATTGTTTTCTTCTTCTTTACACCTGAAATTGTTGCACGTGAGTTTTAAGGGTCTATCGAAAATAACATCTTTACTTCCACAAGATAGTGATAAGGTCTGCGTAAACTCTACCTTCCCCAGATCTCACTTGCATACATACAATCCTCCCCAAACCCACTTGTGAAACTACACTTAATTTGTTGTCATAGGCTCATAGCAACTAATATGTATGGTGGAATTGCTATTAGTTAACATATACCAAAACCATTCATTCCTTAAATTTTAAGGACTAAAAATGTATTAAGAGTACACTTTGATGGTTAAATTAGTCATACTCCCAAACTTAAGGGACTATTTCGTTAAAATCTCCATTGTTATCCTTCATATTTTAATCTTAACAAGAACCCTTTCTTCTTCTACCTTCAGGCCCCTCAAAAAGATCAAAGAAAAAGTTAGAACTCAAGAACAGTAACATTGATTTGTTTACAATAATTTGTCCGTTTTTATCTATTTGATCCTCGCCAAGGACTCTCCGATCCATTAATTTCGTATTTTCATATTGTTTTTTCAGCTTATAGGGAGATCAATTACGAATAATCTAAAGGGTCTTTGCATAAAGATATGCAAAAGACCTCATTTTTGTTGTAAATTTATTATTTTTTTGTTGTGGGGTTGTTCAATTTCGTATTTTTTTTGTGGGTTTTGAATTTGGGAGATGGGAAATATATTTGTGAAGAAACCGAAGATCACCGAAGTTGATAAAGCGATTTTGTCTTTGAAGACTCAAAGGCGTAAGCTTGCTCAATATCAGCAACAGGTATAAGGAACTTTATTTTTGCCCCTTTTTGAAATTTTGATTACAGTTGTCTTTTTGGTGGGCTAAACTTAAATTGCTTAATTTAGTCAACTTCTTTGAAAGATAGATCATGGGTAGTTTTTGGATTTGTTTGTTTGTTTTATGGGAATAGTTTTTGTGGAGAATTATTAGGTGAAATTATGAAATTTGACAGCAACAAGGCCTTTGGGTGTTTATTGTAATACTAGATTTATGATGCTGAGATTGAGTTGTGGAACTATGTGTTTTTTCTTGAGTCTTTCAACAATAACTATGTTTAGGAGGAATTAGTTCTCTATATTTGTATTTGAGCTTAGGGTCTATTGGAAACAACCTCTCTACCTTCAAGGTAAAGGCCCTCCCCAGACCCACTTTGTGAGATTACACAGGGTGAGATTACACGGGTATGTTGTTGTTATAATATTGACATGCAATGAGTTTAAGTGGAGTAAGATGATTAGTGAGGGTTCATAGCGGATCCCGACTTTTTTTGTCCTGAGGCTTAGTTGTTGTTGGTTCTTCCTTGACCATGACGTGATGCGTAGAGGAGCTGTGTATCAAAGTTTCTATATTTCTGAATGAATCGACCAGCTCTTCCACTTTGAGAAACGATTAGCAACTGAACTTGGCATTACCTAGAATATTTGTAAATTTTACAATACGCATTACATATCCCGCATCTCAGTGGTCATTATATAGGGGAGGAAGAGATGTTGACAGCTTGTTCTTACTTTCAACACATAAAAGATCTATTATACGGTGGTCTGATTTGAAAAAAGTTTGTACCTTTCATACAATGGTTTTTCATTTTTTGTAGAAGTTTTGAGTAAATACTGCTTCGTATGATGCTGATAAGTAAAGCGAGCCTTTGATGGAGCTTTTGTCTTCTGTAATTGCCATCCAAGGAAACAATCTGTCAACTCTATTCCTGGATGAAAGAAGGTTATAAATGACCTAATAGAGAACTTTCTTTTCTTTTCTCCAAGCCAGAAAAGAGAATCTTTGAATTGCCTAAATCTTCAAAACCATATGGCCTAGCTATAAGTTGACTTACCACTTCTAGTTCGGAGCAATTACCTTCTATACAAGACCTCAAGTTTCAGCATCAACCATTGCTTGAAATAATGGCACTTTGTTGTTTATATCATATTACTGTTAAAAATGAATACAAAGTAAAAAAAGGGCATTCTCAGTTATCATTGAAACTAGACATGCAGCTAATTTTAATTGTTATGGGAAGTTTTAGAGGAGAGTGACCCATCCCCTGATTATGCACCAAGTCAGAATGCTAACACTCCTAAAATATTGAAAGTAATAAAGAAAAGAAAACCCAAAAATGGGTATAAGTTGGTTTTACACGAGGTAGGGGAATTCTATTAAATGTTGCAACTGAAGGATCAAGATGATTGTCCACATTAAGAACTTAAAGGTTCTCTCCTTTTTCTTGGTGCCAAAGGCTCCTCTTAGGACTGATTTACAAGATGTCCTCAAGGAATATTCTACTGGATGCACGTGTTGGTTTCAGACCTGCTAATACCTTCTGTTATTCTTTGCTTTCAGCTGGATGCTGTAATTGAAGCTGAGAAACAAGCTGCAAAAGACTTGCTACGCGAAAAGAAGAAAGAGAGGGCCCTTTTAGCATTGAAAAAGAAGAAAGTGCAAGAAGAACTATTAAAGCAAGTTGATGTTTGGCTCATAAATGTTGAGCAACAAGTAAGTAATTCTTCTTAATTCAGTTTCATACTTTTACTACCATGCTAAATTTCCTTATGTCTCTTAAGCATTTAAATTGTTTTCTGATTCTATGTGTAAATCCTTTAGTTGGCAGATATTGAACTGACAAGCAAGCAAAAGGCTGTCTTTGAGAGTTTGAAAACTGGGAATAATGCAATCAAAGCAATACAAGGTGAGATCAACCTAGAGGATGTTCAAAAGTTAATGGATGATACTGCAGAGGCAAAAGCTTATCAAGACGTAAGCTCTTTTGATATTTCATCCCCTGCTCACTTATATTTGGTAGTGTCTACTCAGTCTTGTGAGATTTGGGAGTTCACTCATGCTTGTATAGTGATAGTAGTTTTGATGTAATACCGGAAGAGAGATGGAGAGAAAGGTAAGGGGAAGAAAGAAAGGAAAGAGATTATAGGGTAGACGGGGAAAGAAAGAATAAGTGGAGGGAGAGAATTTTGAGAGGAGAGATTACAATAGGGTAGAATTCATGTATATATAAAACAAAAGTATTAAAGGTGTCCTACTTATTTAAGAGTCTAGAACAATCTAGAACTTCTGATACGATTAAGGCTCTATATATATCTAAAGACACAAATAAAAACCAAACTAAGTCTAGTTGATAACAGATGGTGATGGAGAGAGTGATCGGAGATGAAATCTGAATATAAAAGATCTAACATAATCTGAAAAGAAATGTTACTGAATCTAAAAATCTGGAAAACATGTAAGGATGTTATTTGTTGAGAATCTCGTGTTTTGGTTGAGATTCTCGACTCTTTTGCTTCTATCTTGTATAAGGGGTTCCCCCCTAGTTTCATACATTAATGAAATCATCACCTTAAACAACCACAATAACTATGTCTTAATCCCAAGGTAGTTAAATTATCTGTATGAATCCTCATTACCTTTGTCTATCTTTTTTTTTAAAAAAAAAAAAAACTTAGGTTCACTAGCACTAGAAATTCTCTACATTTTTCGACAAACAAATCTCTTAAAAGACTAAAAGACTCATAACTATTATTATTC